TCTGTACCCTGTCCTCCACCCACTCTGTGGATTTGCATATAACCTCATTGTTACCTATTTCTCACTTACCGACTATCCCGTTATCCAACATCACACATTTATAACAACAGTGAAACATCCACTCCGCAGCGGGCCACAGCAGGCCGACAGTGACACCTGGAGGTGGTGCTGGAGGAGGTCCGGCCCCCTTTCCCCAGGTGGTGTTGGTGGGCACCAAGGGCAACACCATCTGGGGGATGGGGTCCACACACCTTCAAGGAGGAAAACAAGTGGGCTGAGCAAGGCAGGCTGGGAGCCCTGGCAGGGCAGGCAGTAGTGTGGCGGGACAGCAGCCGTGGCGGGTCAGGGTCCTCAGCTCTGCAGGCTGAAGCTTGGCGTGGAGGAGCTGGGTGGGATGGGTCCACTGTGCCTGGGAGTGCAGGATGCCCACCTCTGCCTGGGCATTATGGATGCCATGTCTGCAGGGAGGCTGCAGAAGACCGCAGGTAAGGAAGTTATATAATTTTCACTTAAGACTGATATTCGTATAACTGGGTCTCTGGAACCTAACCATGTGAGTAAGTGAGGTGTGGGTGCATATTTATCTACGCAGTTTATTTTATTAGCAATCAGTGTTTCCCTGACTACTTCTTGGATGATCATTTCCTCAAGGGCAAAGACTATGCCTTCAACTTTCTTAATGATGATCTACAGTGAGCATGCAACTGTTGGTTATTGTGAGAAGTGTTTGATAATCATAACAACAGTTAAGAACTTGGGCAGGCTAGGAAACCTGGCCTGGCTACTTACCAGGTCAGCGACTGTAGGGAAATTTCTTAACCTCCAAAAAGCCTTAAATTCTCCTTTTGTTAAATGAGGATATCAGTACCTCACAGAAGATTAACATTAAAAAAAAAAAAGTACAACATTGAGTATAGAGCCTATCACGTAATGCGAATGTCATAGGTTATTTAGCAGCTCTGGAGGCAAAATTGGGCCAGGTAAGAGTTATTATAAAAACTTAGGAATGAAGAGAGAGAACAGAAAGAACTTTAAAATAACATGTGCAGGCACCAGATAACAAGGCCAGGGAAGAAAGAAAGAGGGGAGGAAAGATGACTTTTCAAAATTCATGACCAAAAGCTTGCACGTGGGGGAGGGGAGATTTCATCTCCTAAGAGTTCAACAGATGGTGTGATAGAGATGCTTCAAAAAGACACGGTGTTCTTAGGTCCCCACTGATGGACAAGTTCAGCTGGTTACAGTGTTCCTTCTAAGAACACTCCCCCGGAGATGTGAACAAACACGTTTCTAGAACAGCTCACCAGAACAGCACAGGATGAGAAAGCTGTCCAACACCAAGCCCAGGCCTGAGAACAGAGCTCTGGCTGGGACAGCGAGTGGAGGTGCAGAGGATGACAGAGATGCTTACCTTTTAACAATGTACGTTATTCAGTGATGCTCTGGGATGGATAGGTAGGTAACCACAGGCAGCTTACAGGTGCAAACACTGGAGTGACTGACTGGGGGGAGGAAGGGTGGCAGAAATACTTGACTTTTAAGGTACTTTCCCCTTCAAAAAGGAGCTCTGGTGGCACAGTGCCTGAGGCATTTGACTGCTAACCAGAAGGCTGGCAGTTCAAACCCACCAGCTGCTCTGTAGGACGGTGACGCAATCTACTTCTGTAACGACTGACTGCCTTAGAAACCCAATGGGGGTTGCTTTGAGTTGGAATTGACTCGATGGCAGTGGGTTTGATTTGGTTTTGGATTTTCCCCTCCAAAATGCTGTGAGTCTAAATTTAAAAAATTTGAACTTGGGATTTTTTTCAGGAGACACTACGACTGCATAAAGACATGCAAGCTATGTGCTGGTTTTGTGCCAGCCCATTTCCCCACGGAGTGCTGCTCTAGAGACAACCCTTTAGGTCAGCATAGTGTGGCGACCACTTTTGAGTCCAAGTAGTGACAATTTCCAAAGTGTCCATTCTCATTCCTTAGTCCATTTCCAGCAAAAAGGAAAAACCGCACTTAAAAACCTGGAAGCACAAATAAACCAACTTTAATAGATATTATTTTGTATTTATATAGCGCCTTCTTCAAGAACCTTAAATGCTTTACAGACATGATATCTAATTATCCCCACAACAACCCTGTGAGGTAGGTATTACTCCCATTTTACAAGATAGGGAGACTGAAGCACAGAGAGGTTAAGTGACTTGCCCAAGGTCACACAGTTAAGTTCACTGAAGAGGCAGGACCCGAGCGCCTTAGCCTCCCAGCTCCCAGTTAAATACCTCATGAGAGAATCTATAATGAAAAGTGTCTTTAAAGAAAGTATCAAGAGTAGTTATGCTATGAAAGTGAGATCTTTCTACTGCCATCAAGGAAAGGAAAAGCCTTATACTGATGGTTAGAGGCAACAAGATCCACATATTACATACTTCCTTCTCCCCCTCTTCCTAAGGCCTCATGGCTCCCGTCTTAAGACATCTTCTAAAGGTAAAGTTTCCAAGACTTTCGGCCATGTGACTTAGAAGTGGGAATTAATTTAGAATATTTACTTTTAGTTAAGATAATTTATAGAAACTTTTTATTCCAATATACAAAATATGGGACAAGCCATCCCAACGAACATGTACATAGTTACACAGCACTCAGCCACCACTTACAACTCACACCTGCCCTTCGTTCCATCACAGCCAGCCAGCAGACAAGCCCACGGTGTTCGGATGGGTCACTGTGTTCTCACTGAACTCTCAGTTATCTTCCCCAATCCTAACCCTGTATGCTTTCAAAAATAGTATCTACTGAGTCTCTGAGAAGCTCCAGGACTTTGTCTTGTGATTCAGCTGCACAAAGAGTCAAAGTGAATTTGGAACCATGGCCCCGAAAGACCCTCCCCTGATACAACATCCCAGAAATACGGGGTCGATGTGAAGAAAACATGGGACTACCACGGAGCACAACAAAATATGCCCGAACTCGCTTTACTGTGAAATTTAACCGTAGCTTTTATGGCATGTTTTGCTTTTCCAAACACAAACTGTCAAACCAGACATGGTGTAGTATTTCAACGCTGTGCTTTCACGCAAATAACTTCCCCTGTCTTTCTTGTACATGCTGTGGCTGGACTGAGACTAAAAACTGACTCCTTTCCTCTGTCCTGAAAGCTGCAGGGACATAGCTCTAAACTCCAAGACAATCTGTCTCCCGCCCTGAAACGAAATCTCCCTCCCCACTGCGAAGACGCCCCCGTCCCCTCCATCCCGGGCTGCACATCTCTGCCATGTGGGCAGGTTGGGCGGGCTCTGCAGCGTTTGTACAAAGCGGTTCCTGCCGGTGTAAGGCTCTAGAAACAGCATCATAGAAAGCCACCGTTACAACATACCACCCTTTTCTCCCAGCACATGTGTTTCTACGGCCCAGTCAGCTCAGTGACTGTTAGAGCTTCACTGAAGGAACAGGTGAAGCCATTTCCTGAGCTAAAAGGTACAGGTAAGAAATGTTGTTAATAATAGCAGCAGACAGAAACAGTCTATTTGTCTTGTTGTCTGTTTGTCATACCCAACAGTTTTAGTCAAATAGCTTTAAAAAATTACGGTAATTAAGAAAAGAGAGAGAGAGAGATGACTGCCTGAGAGGGTTCTATAAAGAACACCCAAGAACTGATCACCAGTATTGGGAACAGACAGTCAATCATTTCCTGCAAGTTACATTCAGCCATTGTCAGGCAACCTACTGATGTGTGTGGAAAGGTGTCCACGGCCACTGAGTTGGTTTTACATGTATTTTATACTCCATGCATTTCTTCCTCAAAACCCCCAACAGAATGAAGTCTTCACAGACACGGATTTCTGTTTCCAAATACTCTTCAGATGTTGTGCCCCATATTCCTGGTCTACCTCATTCAAATTGACTCCTCAGAGGGTTTTACCCGAGCTCCCCAAGCTGCTGGGGTCCTAAAGCAAGGATGACTTCATTCCAGGGTCAAGAATGACATTTGAAAATAACATAAGTGTTATGACATGAGTTTTCCAAGCCCGGCCTCCACCTTAAACAGGGTATTTCAGAACTCTAAAGAGCAACAGGCCACCACTGCACCAGAACTTCTTCAATCATTTCAACAACTACAGGGAATTATGATCGTGTTTGGTGGTTGTTTTTTTTTAATAATTATTTTTAAAATTTTACTAAAATTAAAGCTGGAGAAATTAAGTGACTTAGAAACTATAACAAAAGGACAGATACTTGGCCCAAGATATCAGTTCCTCCTCAAAGGGATGATTTCCCTCCCTCTCGTGGAAGTTGCTCTTAGGGGTCTCACTGATTTCAAATAGAACTGAAAATTCATCTCACCAAAAAAAAGCAAACAAAAGGACAAATTAAACCGACAAATGCTTTAAAAAAAAAAGATGCTCAAATCCACCGACAGAACCATGGGCACTTCAGACAATACTCAGACTCGACCAGGTTTAAGGAAAATAAATAAGAAAAGAAATGATAATTACAAAGCCAGTCTTTCCCCATAGGGAAACAAAAAGCCACTTTCGACCAATTGTTCCCGACATATACACACACTGTATATTATTATAAGCTTCTTCAGAGAAGCAAAACGTATTCGTCTTCCTGACACAGGTTGCTAGGATCTGGTAGTTCATTACCATCAGGAAGGCAACTGCAAGTGTTGGGCCCAAAAGTAGTTCTGGTTGATGTTTGGAAGGAAAAAAAAAAAAAGAAAAAGAAAAAAAAACCCACTGGACATGCTTTCTACACATACTGAACACAGGCACATGGATGCCGTGTACTCAATACTAGCTTCTTACGCAATCGACACACCCTAGCACGGGTTCCTAGTCTCTCTAGTGCACCCCAAGGAGTTCCGTGGGTACTGGTGCAGTCGATGGAGAGGAAACGCACGCCATGGCGGGGAGGCGGTCTGACGGGAGGAGCTGGGACCTCAGCTCGCACTCACTGGCTGTATGAACTGCATGGACGACATGATACCTGAGCGAATAAATCAACTACCATGACAGGAAGGGCCCGTTCCTCCAGTCTTTGCTTTATTCTGTGCAAAGTTTGCTGCTGCCCCTGAGCTTCCTGCATTTCTCTTTTCTTGGGAAAAAAAAAAAAATCAGTGCTTGATCCTTTCTAAAGTGACCAGAGAAGAACTGAGGCAGAGAGTCTCTCCTCGTCACAGTCGCCGTTCAGTCCCGAGACTGATAGAAAAGGATGTAACCAGACTCAGAGTTCTTTGAGATATCTGATGTCAACCCGTAGAATTCTTCAATAGCTTGTGCATCTATCTTCTGTGGGGGAGAAGGTAAATATTATTAGTGGTATGCCCAGTAGTACCCCCTGGCCCGTTGTTTCGCTTTAAAAAAAAAAAAAAAACAACCCACTGCCATGGAGTCAATTCCAACGCATAGTGATTCCCATTGGGTTTCTGAGGTGGTAAATCTTTACAGAAGTCAACTGCCCAGTCTTGCTTCCACAGAGTGGCTGGTGGGTTTGAACTGCCAACCTTCTGGTTAGTAGTCAGATGCTTTATGCAATTTCAATTACCCACATGGTCAACCACTGTCTGAAAACAGCAGCCTAGTGCTACGTCACAGTGCCTGTGTCATGCACCTCACTTCATCTCCTAACTTTTATCACAGTATATTGACGTGAATGTTCTATGTTGTTATTAGTTACTGCTGTTCATCTTTTCCTCTGCCTAATTTGTAAATTGGGAGCTCTGGCAGTGTAGTGCCAAAGGCACTTGACTGCTAACCAGAAGGCTGGCGGTTCAAACCCACCAGCCACTCCTTGGAAGGAAGATGGGGCAATCTACTTCCATAGCGATACTGCCTTAGAAACCCAAGGAGGGGTCGCTATGAGTCG